TGATCTTAATCAAGTGCACCATTGAGATCCTTCATACTTTGAAAAGCATAGGTAGAGGAAAGTAACAAGCATCACAACTTGTACTCTCAACATGAAAACATGATATTAAAGCATTGTTCTCTTAACCAAAGGCTAAGGAGGAGGGGAAAGACACTTAAATGAGTAGTCACATTTGTCATCAGCATCATCTCAGAAATCCCATTCACTATCAGTACATACATCAATCATTTTAAAAACATCTCTTACTCATAATTCACACTGCCCACTATCTGAAACAAGTCTCCTGAATCCACACTGATCTAGGTTTGATAAGAGCCTGCTACACATAGTTTTATCTATCATCAGTTTTGCCAAAAAAACAAATAATTTGTTGTGCTAAATCTTGTAAAGTAAAACAGAGGGGCAGGTCTTTCAAACCAGCTGTAATAGTTGTAGTAGCTCATTAAACATTTTAAATATTGCATCTGATATTTGCCCCTTGCAGGACTTCCACCATTCCCAAAGGAATTTGCAACCAGCTCTGTCACAGCCAGCTCCCACATCCCCATCAAAAACATCTACCAGCTCCTGCATCCCTATCAAAACCAGCTCCTCCAGCTCCCTTAATCCTAATCCCAAACCCTAAACCTAAACCCTTGACCCATGTCAGCCACAGAGTACCTTTCACAGTACGTGAAATGTACCTAGTAACTGCAAATAATAATAAATAATTGAATACAGGGAAATATTATACATTGTTGTTAAAATAATAAATAAATAAATATGTACTTTCATTTAGGGCCTTAATAAAAAAACACGGTTTTTCCGCGTTTACACGCGGTTTTGCTGCGGCACAGCGCACGCGGTTTCCGTGTTTAGACGCGGTTTTTTAATTAATTTTTTTTTGCCATTAATTTAAAGGTTTTTTATTTTTTTAAAATTGTTTCCTAGGTTATCAAATGCGTAGAATTTAATGGTAAAGTCCATTTTCCACAAAAATGACTTTTGATTATTAATTTTTTTTTTCCACTCATTTTTTCCATTAATTGTATGCATTACTTTTTTTACCTTATTTTTCAACTTTTTTTGTAATTTTAAATTTATTTCCTAGGTTTAAATGTGTTGAGAATTTAATAGTGTAATCCATTTTTTTTAAAACTCAACGGTTCATTTTTAATACGGAAATTAGACACATTTTTTCACTTGAATTTCTACAGGTTAATTTTCATTCTTTTTTGACATTTTAAATTTTTTTCCTAAACTTTAAGACATGTATAAAGTTATGGTAAAAATCATTTTGCATCAAAATGAGAACCACATCTTGTATACTGCATTTGACACCGTTTTTTTTTATTTAATTCTTTATTTCCTAGGTTTAAATAAAACAAAAAGAGAATTTGATTCAAATGTCTCCCAAAAATAAAAAAAAAAACTCCAAAAAAGAACACTCCCAATCATCGGACTGGGATACACCAATCATTTCTCCAGATTCCCATGCACAAGGCAGACTCTAGTCAAGATTATGATCAGCCTGGACACCACGACACTATCCAACGAGGTGATGCCAGCCAACTAGTTTACACTACGGGCAATTAGGTGACGCTCCCGCGCGGAACGTCACCTAACCCAAGGGGGGCCCCTTTGGGTTAGGTGACGTTCCGCGCGGGAGCGTCACCTAATTGCCTGTAGTGTAAACAAGTAAGCTTGCATCACTGCGACGATTATGGGAGTGCTGGCACGTCCGAGCGCTGCCACAGGTACAGGCCCCCTTGAGCACATTATTGAGTAGAAGAGTTTATATGTAGCCTTCACGGATATTTGTCAGTTTTATGCAAAATGATTGTTATCTTCATTTTTGAGCATGTCTCAGAAGTGTGTTACACTTATTTTTGTATGTCAAACCAATGATGATAAATCAAGCTCTTAAAAAATCAACTGGAATTATAAGACCACCTAACAGGATTCTGACGGACTCGTCGAGTATCATGACAAGTCGTATTGTTATCATGAAATTCTAAACAGTTTTAAATGTAGGGAAACATATAAAAACTTCAAAAAAGCATAAAAAATTAGGGGAAAAATCAATGCAAACAATTAAGTGAAAAAAGTGAAGAATTGAATGAAAAAACGGTGTCAAATGCAGTATACAAGATGTAGTTCTCATTTTGATGCAAAATAATTTCTACCATAACTTTATAAATGTCTTAAAGTGTAGGAAAAAAATGTAAAATTTCAACAAAGAATCAAAATTAACCTGTAGAAATTTAAGTGAAAAAATGTGTCTAATTTCTGTATTTAAAATGAACCGTTGAGCTTTAAAAAAATTGGATTACACCATTAAGTTCTACACACATTAAAACCTAGGAAATAAATTTAAAATTACAAAAAAAGTTGAAAAATAAGGTAAAAAAAGTAATGCATACAATTAATGGAAAAAATGAGTGGAAAAAAAAAATAATAATCAAAAGTCATTTTTGTGGAAAATGGACTTTACCATTAAATTCTACGCATTTGATAACCTAGGAAACAATTTAAAAAAAATAAAAAACCTTGAAATTAATGGCAAAAAAAAATTAATTAAAAAACCGCGTGAAACCGCGTGCGCTGTGCCGCAGCAAAACCGTGTGTAAACGCGGAAAAACCGTGTTTTTTTATTAATGCCCTACATTTAATCTTAATTCATAATTTATATTTAATAATTCTATAATTAACTGTGAAATCCCCTTGAGTATTGTACTTATAATACCACTAGGATTTCACAGAAATATCATTAGAATAAGGCCCCGTTTGGCCGTCCATGATTTGTAATTTTGAGTTGAGGTTTGGCAGGAGTTTGTGCAAAAACCTTATATCGTTTCATATCGCACGGTCGAAATCCCAGCCAAACTTAGCCAAATCACAAATAATGATCTGCGGCCAAACGGGGCCTAAGTCATTAAAACAATATTTATTCTTATAAATTATGTGCATATTTTATAAGCCATAAACTAATTACATATGTATAAGAATTAGCTAGTAGAAGCGTGAGATGGATGAGGAATAAGCTATATAAACTTATCTGAAGCTTACCCATCCTTGATCACATCATCAGGGCATCAGATTGCATCATAACCCTCTTGGATGGCGTCATCAGGTCCCTTTTGTGCTCTAATTCAAAGCTTGCATAATTCAAAGTAAGCCTACACGGGAAAGGAGCCCAAATTCTACATGCAAGACTGAATTATGCATTAAGGACAGGCATTTCTCATGATCACAAGCTTGCATAAGCAGAGTTACACGTATGCAACCAACTCTACAATTGCACAGCCCCTGCACAGTAACTGTAGCCTTTTCAATTACGTGAGAAATAGGCCACAAAACTCAATTATGCATGTATGATCTCATGTCCTAGGACCTTCCACCCATGCATAGCACTGCAAAGCTGCAGCTCCCATCCTTACACAAAATTTTAGAGCTGCTAAGAAGCTCCCTAGTGCCCTGAGGGCCTCTCCTCTTCCCCTAGCCCCCTGTAGAATATTTAAGGAGCCCTGATTCCTACCTTTTCCCCCCAGGAAATTCTAGTAGCATCAAACCAGAACTTGTACTGTGATTATTAGTGACTTAGACCACCAATAACTCTACAACTCAGCTACCTTAGACCTAAATAGATTTACTTTGCTCAGATTCAAGGCATTTCTAGTTATCTCTATTGCATAAAGAATTATCCCCCAGGTTAAACAATTCTGGTCCTTAAGTGTTGATACACTTATTAATCTGAATTGTTGTTAAAAGACTTATCCCAAGTGAGTTGAAGAAGTCCTCACCTTGGAAGCCTATTAATCCATGCAAGAGGATTGAGCCGGATGCCCAATTGAATAATTGGATGAGTCAGCAGTAGAAGTACCATTCCTCACTGACTCCTCCCTGTTTCTTTAACAGGTTGAGGGATTTAACCACAAATAAATCTTCTTCATTACTCTTCTTGTTAACACTCAGAGCACGACCCTTACAGGTTAGTAGCATAGAGGCTGACAACCCAACTCCTGACCCTTCACCTCTCAACCCTAACCTCAAACCCTAAATCTAAAAACCTGCCCTGTGGTGTAGCCACCGCACAATAACATCACATCCTGCTGGGAACTGTTGTTGCACATATCTAAAGTGTGATCCAATACTGTTTATTCAAGGTGGAAAGTGTTGGATCACATTTTACATAGGTGCACTCACATCACCCAACAGGATGCAATGTTCTCCTATGGGTTCTGAAATCCATCACTTTTTCTAGGGTAGGCCTTGATGATAATGTGTTTGGAAGGCCCAGGAAGAGCTTATAGCCATTTATGTCCAACTTTGACTGCTGTACAGAGGGTAGCCTGACAACAATTGACTGCACATCTGTACTACCCAAAAACATTTTTTTTGGTTGTCCCTCTTTATATTGGTCCAGGTCCACTTATCCCCTTGAGTATTATCTGTCTTAGTTGTGCCAATCATGGAGGATGCCTCTTTGAACCTGTTGGGTTTTTGGTAGGTAACTAAACTCTAATCTGATATGGTGATTTTGGGAAAATAACAATAAAAATAATCAATCATCCAGAACACATAAGCAAGCTGAGAAAAGAAAAAAAACATGAAAATACAGGCAGACTTGCACTGTAAGTTGGTGCTTGATGTCAAAAGAAACTGTACATTTTATTTTATTTTCTAACAACAAAAAAAGCAAAAGAATCCAAGCAATTTAGGATTGACAGTGGATGCTTGATCTGAAGTAAAACAAGCTCAATGTGCCCATCTCTTCATCAATTATCAGCCTTGGTTGAGGATCATGTAAGCAACATATTGGCCAAAGGTGCAGAGCATATCACGACATCATCTTCAAAAGTATTTTGGGGAAACTGGTGGGTTAAGGGGGCTGTAATAAAGACATGGAAATCACTACTTAAGATTGAAGCAGCTTCACACAAACTTGATGCTCCATGAAGTTTTCTTTTGTTTGCTTGGAGTGCATTCACGTCTCTTTCATCATTCAGTTGATCTTCTTGTTCATTACTCGATTCAGATTTGAAATCATAGAATTAGGGGGTGTTTAAGCAAGGTTTGATAACAGGAAAACCCCCAACATAGTTGCGGAGGGGCTTAGTTAGACGAGAGAGTAGTGCTAAGAAATGCTTCAAAAGACCTGTCGAACATTAAGATTAATGCGGCCGCCATTGTGAAACCAACGAGCCCAAGGAGGAGGAGGAGAAGGGCCGGTTGACAGACAGCCATCGATCCAAGGGGGCAAGCTATGCTCGATGATTCTAGGCACCCCATGGAAGAATCTGCGGCTAGGCCCGGCCATGATCAGGGCATCGCCGCTCTCGAGCTTGATTGCCAACGGCTCTTCTTCTCGGCTCGCGGCGATCAGGAAAATACATGCTTGGCCAACTGATAACGAGACTAATGGAGTGTCCGTCGTTACTTCTGAATGGTCGATGTGCGCCGTTAATGCATCTCGGTACTATTAATAATCAGGCCAGGGGTTTGTCAGTCAGTCAGGTCTTGTCCGCTCCTTTTTGTTTCTTTTATTTTGGTCCTTTTCTGATAATCTTATCATCACTCAACTTGATAAAAGTTGATCACCCCAGCCTCGGGTTTATAATTTGTCTTCCAATCGACCAACGAGCTCTCTTTTTCGCAATCATTGCTAGTCTTTTCAGTTGCTTGGAATTCGGACTCAATTACGTCCCAAGGAACCACCCGATTGATCAAGTTTTTGCATGTTGATTGGACCAGGTCGCTGATAGGAGTCGGATCTCTTTCGAAATGATAGGTTTTAGTTGGCCACTGTCTTCGAAACAAAAGGAATATATGTATATACCAACACCGGGGAGAGTGGAGGAGTTTTTGTTTTAGAGTACATTTCAGGATGGGTTGAGAAGAGGGAGGGTTGAAAAACAGACACACATGGTATTGCCATCCGATCGTACACCATCGCAGTTTGCCATTCATCCAGAGATCGCGGATGTGGATAGGCATGCCAGCTTTCGCGCTGACTTGGTCTTCCTTGGGCCGGTCATTGCGCGCAACCAAGAAGTTGTGGGCATTGATCGGCTCGAAGTCGACTTTCTGTCTCCGACTTTTTTGCTGCGGGGGTTTTTTGGGGTCGGTTTGGGAGGATTGTTGGACCGAAGATTCGGGGACGGGTTTCGGCTGGAGGATGAATTGGGTATCGAGTTCTTGATCTTGATCTTCAGATTGATTTTGGCTGTTTTCATTATTCAACCAGAGACGATAGAGGTCATAGAGTCCAGGTTGGTGTGGCATTTCCCAATGCGTGTCTATGTTGGTTACATTAGGTTTCCGGAGCCCGTTGGTGAGACAATCTTCGACCAGCTCGGCTTGCTGATGTTGGCAGAGGTACGAGGGTAGATAGATCAAGCCGGGGTATTGTTTAGGGAATGTGCAGAAGATCCGATCCGGAGAACACTGAGGATGACAGAGTTCGCATGGTTTGATGATCGATGGCTGACTGCTGTTGGAAGGTAGAGTATGGATGTGAGCCTCGATAGATTGGGCTTGATGAGGAGTACTCCATTCGACTTTCATAGGTGAAGTAGCTGGAGTAGTAGTGGTGGTGATCGATGGAGGTGGGATCGAATGATGGCCGAATGCAAGGTTGTAATCTGGCTCCCAGAGTCTCCGTTTGTAGTATTGTTCGATCGTGCGGAAGGGCGTTGGATTCGACTGTGGGTCTTGATAGTCTGGTTGTAGAGATCGACTGTGATGGTAATTCTTCCTCATCTTCTCCAACTTTTTTCGTGGATATTTCGTCGTCGTCGTTTTCTCGCTGACTTTAATTAATCAACAGGAGTGTCGTTGGTGGGATTAGATCATCTTGTTAGCATCCTATGTATCTAGTTCAGGTAGGTTTTTTACACTTGAATTGAAATTTGGCTCTGACCTGGAAGATCAGTAGTGTTTTCCATGACGAGATTCCCATGTTCAACGTTTCGATTGGAATCTGATGCAGCCGATTCTTTTAGATTGGGGAGAAGACAAAAGGGAATCAGTTCAATGAGCCGAACCGATGATTGCCTGAGTTTGGAGTGCTTACCCATAGCTTTCCCGGATTGATTGATTGATCGATGTTGTGGTTTTCCTTGGTTGTTGACCGTCCATCAAAGCTGTTGAGGCTGGTCTTTGCTGTTCCCCGCACCGCCCCCACTTTGTCATAACATGTCACACCTGACACAGCTCTTCAGAAGGCTTGACAGCCGCATACAAGCATGTGACAGCTTCAGTCTCACTAACAGTACGGTCATAAAGCAAGGCACTAGTATCCCCGCCAGTCCAACAATCACCACAATATTACCACCTCAAAAACCAACCAATTCCAATCCAATCAAACCAAACTCAAACATCATGAAGAACGTAAGCGAACCATCTCATCAAAATCTTAAAAGTAACACTTGCTTCTTCATCTGACTAACTTTGAATGCATCCATTTCGAATGTAGTTATTTCGACACAGCAGTCAGAAAAAAAACCGATATCCTCCGCCTGCTGGACCACCACCACCGCAAGCCAACCAATCGATCCCACAGGGCCACGCAGGGGCCTATTACGGACATCCTCCAACGAATTCTCCCGTCTACCCTGGAGCCCAGAACCAACAATACCCTCCTCCTCCAGGTCCTCCCCCGCCTGATAATCTTGCCGCCCCCGGGTATCCCGCGAATCAGTTCCAACCTGGCGTCGAAGACCCCTTGGCGATGTTGAGTCGCTATGATACTGGTTCGCTAGCTTTAGTCATTCTTATAATCTGTATTTTGTCCTTCCATTGCTGATCAAATATTCAATCTTCATCTGTAGTTATCTTGGTCGATGATTCAGGATCAATGGGCAAGCTTCAAGCCAATTCCGACATGCATTTCCACACACATACACACAAATTGACTAGAATCCAATCTACGGATGTTTTTTCTTCACAGAAATGATGTGGGACGAAACGCGAGATGCATTGATAGGAGTGGTGGAGAAAGCGATCCAATACGACTCAGATGGGATCGATTTATTCTTCTTCAACGACGCACAGCAGGCGCTGAACTGCAACTCACCAGACCAAGTTCGCCACGTCTTTCGGAGCGTCCTTCCTCGTCGATCTACGCCCACCGCCGCCTCGATCAAGAGGGTCCTCGATCCCTATCTTACGCTTTTGCATCAGTCTAAAAACGGCGGACCGATGGTTAAACCCATGAATCTCATCGTCTTGACTGGTTAGTCATAGTGACCCTCTCTTACCATTATCGTCCTAATCGTCAGTTCTTTTTTCTGGTTGAGCAGATGGGGAACCTGATCGCGGCCAAGATCCTGAACAAGTCATCGTCGAAATCGGCCGATACCTTGACTCGAATAGGTTCCCATTAAACCAACTTGGAATATCCTTTGTCCAGATCGGAAATGATCCCGATGTAAGTCTTCATCTATCTAGCAGTTTCATCATTTGAGATGTATCCGACTGGGACTGATTTCTTCCTGTACAAACTGTCACATGCAAACCAATCCTACTTAAATAGGCCACTCGACATTTGATCGCTCTCGATGACGACTTGAAAGCTAAACATAAAATCAGGGACTTCGTTGATTGTACTCCTTATCAGGCAAGTCATAATCACACGGCAAGTTATCTCTTTTTCACATCACAACTTCTCCATCGCCCGTGATATCTGATTTTTCTTTTTTGATGGTTGGTTGGTTGGTTGGTTGGTCTTTTTGCTTATATAGAACGTTATTACGTCTGATTTCATCCTGAAAGCTTTGATCGGTGGCGTTAATCGCAAAATCGATCATCTTCGCTTATGATGATCCCTCCCCTCCCTTCCTCCACATACATCCATACACACGCAAAAAAAAAAAAAAAAACCAAGCACGAACAGACACGACTGTATGATTACTTACGCTGATAAATCCCGGTTTCCTAGCAAGCAAACCGAGGAACGTTCCATGCCTCCAATACCATCCTCAACTGTATTCTCTGCACTGCTCAGCTGAAGTATCCCTGTATCGTTGTACAACAAACAGCCTTTGATCCAATCGGCGCTTTTTTTATTCCAGATATCACTTGGTTGTTGGTGACGTCATTGCACTGTATCATCGAGATGAAAACTGTATTGGTTGGTTCTTCAGACCTAGCTGTCATGTATCATCTATAACCTCTTTAATGTCTTCTCATATTTTTCCTACAAACTGCTGCAATAAGATCTCTTCTCCTCGATATAATGCTGCACCGCTCAAGCTGAGATGTGCATTTGGGTAGTCCTTCTTTGTCATTCCTACAGTCTTATTCTCATCTTTGTTAAATTATCGTCTCTTTTTTCATATAGGCCAGTGAAATAACTAAATGATCAAAAAGAAGTTTTACATGTCACTTGACTTGGGCCTTATAACTACACTCCAAAAGACAGCAAAAAAAATGAAACACTGGTGCTTGTGAAATAAGGTTGGCTAGAATCTTTCAAAAAATTATATATAATCAATGTGATCGATCGTTTCACTTGATGGGTTTTCAGATCAATCGTGTTATTTTGATGACTACGTCTCATTATACATATATGTGTAAATGATAGATGGGAATCAATTGAACGATCCGGATGATCAAAGCAAACAAAAAAACAGATATGAATTGGGAGATATTTAGTAAATATCATCGTCGAGTGATCTTGCAATATGTTTGAAGTTATTAATGGCAAAGATGAACTGAGTGTTCCAAATAGGAAACCACACCTTTAAGTGATTCTGATCATCAACCTGGGGGAATAAGGGAATGATGTAGAGGACTTGTAAACCCCCTCCCTCTGTGGTCAGGGTTTCACAAGAATTACAACGAGATGTCACATTTTCTCTCTAGTTTTCCGTCTCAGTTTCCCTTCCTGGCTCAGCAGAGAACTGACCCCTAATTCTCTCTGAGTCAGAAACAAACAACTATTAGTTTGGTCTTAGAAAATTGCCTAGGCTTATAGCCCGTCCCCGTGCCTTTTTCATCCATCCAGTGAAGGACATTTGCAGTCCTTACAGGACTATGAGCAGTAATGGGAGATCGAAACAAGCAGCTAGGGTTTCTACAAGTTTGATGATTTGGTGGCTTTGGATGCTCAGGATCCGCGGAGATAGATTGGCTTTCCATAGGATCTCGACTAGTTTTTTGTGGTCTTTGGTTACTAGATGAGCGGTTTCAAGTAGGGATTTGAGCTGAATCGAGTTCATCTCTGTATATGATGGTATATTCATACCTCTTCCTGCTGATAACTTGTTGAAGAATAGTCGCGAAAGCTTCATCAATGTGACGGAAATTTCAAACAGTTCTTGGACTCCCTTGCAATAAGCTGTTCAATAGTTGCGCGTCAAACGGGCTGCTCTGGCGTTCACACTGATGGCTTCTTCAAGACATAAATTCAGCGCTTGTTGGACCATATCTTTCCATTGATCTTGCGCCAAATCTAGTTTGGATCCTTTGCAAAAGACAAGGGTGGATTGGATTAGATTGCTTGTTTGGGTCCTGGCTTGCTCGAGAAAAAACGTTCTGAACGTATGATCCGGTTCATAATCCTCAGTAAATTCATCGCTCGTTGCTAGTCTCATTCCTTCCAATTGTTCACATGTCATATGGAATACTCTGCATATTTGACGCGCCATTTTGTGGAAATTCTTGCTCAAATGATCGAGTCTGTATGATTTAGATTGTTTCAGTGTTTGATTTTCGGCTCGGTTTGAAGTTGATAATGGTTCTGGACAGATGAGCTGGCTAGAAGATTTGATTTGAGTAAAGGTGTGGTCGATTTTAGAGGGAATCTCGAAGATAAGTTCTAGTTTTGTTCCCGGGTCTTTCTGCAAGCCTTCTTCATCTAGTGACAATAAGAGCGTATTGAGTTGCTGTTACAAGCAAGGTAGAAGAGACGAATGTAAGCGTTCCAATTGATCTTCCCTCGAGTAGTTGATGACTTGCTCGTCGACTTCTTCATTATTTAACCAGGTGGCCGCTGGAGAACTATCGGTAGTAGAGTTTGATCCATCGGATAGGTCAGCTGGGAATGCATCCCCATCATATCTATGCAGCAGTCTCTTGAACTCCTGGATAACTAGATCTAATATCAAGTACAGATATAAATGCATCAATCAGTTCTTAGTCAAATGATCAAGTCCACATGTGTTGTATCCAATGCACTGAATTACTACTCACCTGCCTGGTGACGATGGCGGGGTTCAAATTTACTGGATGGTTCATCTGCTCGGGTGGGTGAGTCTGGGTCGGATATTCCGGACATTTTTTGTTTTCCTCGACCGTTGGTGTTTGTCAGTTGAGTTTTGGTCCACCTGTGGGTGCTACTAACCGGCCATACACTGTACACCACGGGTCGAGTTTGAGAAATGGCGCTCCGTCGGCTTGACCCCGCGGTCAAGCACCGGTCGGGCTTAACCCCTTTTACGAAATCCCACCGAATTGGTCTGGCCAACGTCAAGTTTGGGCAGGAATTCCGCAATTCCAACATTGGCTTGACCTCAGGGTCAAAAAGTCCCACCGTCGGCTTTACCCCTTGTCTGAATATGAAGAAAAAAAAAACTTTTTTTTACCTTTTCCTACACCCTTTTCATGCCCAAAAAGCTGTGGCCACCTCAGAAAAAAAAAAAAAAAAAAAAAAAAAAAAAAACTTGGAGAGAAAAAAAACTAAGACAAAAAAAATCTAGAGATTTAAAAGTTCATGTTGATACATATGCAAAACCAAGCAAAGCTGGTATAGTATGAATGCCACAGTCAGATAAGCCCTCCTGTCTCATCACCACCAGTTCAGGATAAGCTGAAGCTGCTTGGAGTTGAGGTTGGCAGTTCAAGCCCTGAGCTGCTTTTTTTTTTGCAACCGCGGGCGAGCCAACATTGCAGGTCAAGCCAACCGCGGGGATTTATGCCCCCCGCTATGAAGCACCCCCAATCTTTTGTCGGGGCGGTATGGGTCAAGCCAACAAAATTCTTTCCGTCAAGCATCCATCCACCAGAGCCTGTGGTGTAGACAGGTTGGAGACGTGCGCTTTAGAGCATTTCCACTGCAGGAGGTAAAATTGGGTTGCTACAGTGCCCCGCACAACCTTTTGACTAGGGCTGGCACCCAACCACCGCGGGTTTCGGACATACCCGAGATCCGACCCTGCGGGGACGGTGGTCGGGTCGGTGCTCTTCAAAAAGGAAAAAGAAACAATTCTGCGGGTACGGAGGCCGTTCCGACTTCGGACTTCAGTCGGGTATCCGCAGTCAAAAACCACAAACTGGATTACCAGCTGGACCGATTCCGGGAGTAGACAAGTTTGTTGTTGTTGTTGTTTTTCCTTTTTTTTTCTTGATGCAAGTTCTGGCACAAGGAGACGCGAAGCGAACAAACGGGTTGGGTTCAAATCAGGTGTGTTGGTATTCTGATCAAATCAACACTGACCCATGGTACAATATATATGAGTCGGCCATCGATGGTGAGTGTACTCATGACTCGGAATATGTGACCATGGCTCATCAAGCTCTGATCTTCAAAACAAAGAAAAATAATCCGTGGAAGTTGCAGCGATGGTGACAAGTGTTATCATTGCCGTCACTGGAATTAGGATTGCAATTTTGTAACAACATTCTTTTGAGATTACACCCAAATCACAGGAAGTCTGAGAAACTGAGGATACCCGGTTACTCGACCCGATCCCTGCGGTTATGTAGTCGGGCTGGACCCTGCGGGAATCCTGAAGCCGGTTATACCAGCGGGAAAGGTTGCGGGAGAGCCCCCGAGGCCAAAATTACCCGCGGGTTCCAGCCCTACTTTTGACTACCCCCTCAGGGGTGTTCCAAATTCTCCAATTTGGTTTTTTTTTCTCCAGTCTTTTTTTTATTTTTCTTTGGTTTTTTTGCTATGTAGGTGTGGCAATTTTTTCTCCTTTTTTCATCTGAATTGTACAGTGGGTAGACAGTGAAAAGTGGCTGCTTATTTATGATTCCAGAGCTCTGAAACACAAACTTGAAGTCATGAGACTTGGGCAGGTGGTGCATAATAGCTCCCAAAAAATGAATATGAAATAATAAAAGCAAAAAATAAAGTTTGAAAATTTGTGAAAAATAAAAAATAAACTGGATTTTTTTCAAAAGCTTTGATATTCATTTTGGGGGAGTGGGAGGGCTGAGAGAAGAAAGATGGGACATGGAAGAATGATTTTAAATGAAAAAAATTGGTAACCAAAAAAGGTTTAGCCAGGTTGGTGGTCCAGATTGGAGCCAAAACAGTAAATTCTAGTGCTTTGCTGCAATGTGGGCTGGTGAATGCCCCACTCGACAGCTGTTTGAAGCCATCTGAAAACCAGATTTTCCAAAATTTTCATTTATAATCATTCTTCTCATTTCCCAATCTTTCTTTCTCTCAGCACTCCCACTCCCCCAAAATGAATATCAAAGCTTTTGAAAAAAATCCAGTTTATTTTTTATTTTTCACAAATTTTCAAACTTTATTTTTTGCTTTTATTATTTCATATTCATTTTTTGGGACCTATTATGTACCACCTGACCAAGTCTCATGATTTCAAATTTGTGTTTTGGAGCTCTGGAATCCAAAATAGGCAGCCACTTTTCACTGTCTAGGCACAGTACATATAGTCATACTTGTATTGTGTACATGCTATGGACAGGGGTTATGAAATTGTTTGACCCTGCCTGCTTGTGGCAAATAGAAGAAACGAACAGATTAACAGAAGAATTTGACTTTGAAAGCTTTGATTGAACCATCAACAGGCATGCCCATCTCCAAAACTGCTCGTTCACAATGAGTCCATCAAGTGGCCGAAGCATCTGCAAAGCACAAGGCCACCCAGAGCATCAACAATCAGAAGGGAAAGAAAAGACACAAGAGAAGCAAAAAGAAATTGAGAAACAGAAGAAACAATAAGATGTCCTCCGCACTCACCCAATAGATATTAGAAATTGTCCCTTTAAATCCGGATATCCGTGTGGATGCGGATATCCGCTGAAAATTTCAGCGGAATCAGGCATCTGCATCCGCATCCGCTGGCGCTGGCGGGTATCCGCGGATACCCCCCCTTGTACTGGTGGGCAAACACCGGCAAGGAGGTTTTTTTGCACAAAAAAGACAAAAAGAAAAAAAAAACCCAGCCCCCCTCGGCCTAGAGAGGCAGAGGCCACACCGTTGGGAGTAAAGATGGCCCCGTGGGACCCGGGTACCGACTGCTTTTTTGGCCAAAACAGACTCCGGGTACCGCACCCGCTCAAGTAGGCCGGGTACTGGTGGTACTCCCGGTGGGTGCCGCCCGGCTGCCGGAGCTTCTTCCAGGCAACCTGGTTGAGACCAATCAGGTCGCCAAGGAGGGTCCTTACCAGCGACCTGATTGGTATTGATCAGGTTGCCAAGGAGGGGTCCTCTCCAGCAACCTGGCTGAGACCAGTTAGTCTCAGTCAAGCCACCAAGGAGGGGGTTTGGGGGCGGTTACCCTTCAAGGTACCAGGTTACCGCCTGCTTTTCTGCCCAAAAGCAGGCACCGAGTACTGCACCCGGGGCCGGGTGGCGGGTACCGGAGGAGTGGAGGCGGTACCCGCCAACGGGTCCCGGCTACCACCCAAGGGATACTGCAAGGCCATCTTTAGTTGGGGTGGAACCCCTCCCAACAAGCATCTATACCTGGATTTTAAACCAGCTCGTTGGAAGCAACGGTGCAACAATTTTTAATTAATTTTTTTTACCATTAATTTTAATTTTTTTTAGGTTTTTAAAATTGTTTCCTAGGTTAAAAAATGTGTAGAATTTATTGGTGAAGTCCATTTTGCATAAAAATGACTTTTGATTATTAATTTTTTTTCCACTTATTTTTCAATTGATTGTTTGCATGCATGTATGTACCTTATTTTTTATGTTTTTTTGAAGTTTTAAATTTATTTCCCAAGTAATAATGTGCGTAGAATTTAATGGTAGCATCCAATCTTCTTAAAACTCAAAGGTTCATTTTTGATACTGAAATTAGACATGTTTTTTCACTTAAATTTTTAGAGCCTAATTTTCATTCTTTTTTGACATTTTAATTTTTTTTCCTACACTCCAAGACATGGTTAAAATGATGGTAAAAATAATTTTGCATAAAAACCAAAGATTTGTAATGAATACTGTGTGGGACATGTTTTTTTTTGATGTTTTTTTAATCAATTTTTACTACAGCAGTTCCCATAAAGCTTGCGGTTGCGAGCTCCTGGGATGCCAAGATTTTTCTTTTTTTGCGCCTCACTTTTTTGTGCCTCTTTTTCCTGTATCTGGCCGTGTACAGCGACAGTCTTCCAGGCCTTGAGGTCCAACTCCCTCATTTTTCGAGTTGAGAAGTTGGGAGTGAAAGAAATTGGAACTGAAGCAGTTTTATTTATTTGTAAGTTTTATGATCTTAATAAAGAAATACAATTGATTATGAATAAATAAAATGATAAAGAGAAATTTGATCAGTACCTGAAGGCAGAACTGATCTAATAATTCTAATGTTAAGGCTCAGTGACAAGGATAAATGGAAAGGCTTTGGATAAGTTAATCAAATAATAATTTAAATGACTAAAATAGATTATCAGAGAAGCAATACGTTGTTAGCCTAATGTCATAGAATATATTGTTTCTCTTTATCTTAAGAGTAGTGAAATGACTTTACTTTAATTGATAAGAAAATCTTTCTTCTTTTAAATGAAAAACCGTGTTGTACTATTTGTTCAATGAGTCTAACATAAGACCATTGAGTATAAAGTACTATGTCAGTTATCTTTCTCTTTTTCTCACTTGAGAAAAAGGCAATTAAGTCTTTTCTTTTACTCACCGACTATTGGTGGAAATATACGCGTAATGAGTTTGCGTTGAGAAGTCTTGTGCGAGTGGAGGCTGTAGTTTGATAAGATGATTTATGATCGATGAAGAATTAGAACTTGATAGTATCTTGTTCTGATTCTTTATCATTTGATTCAATCTCTCAAGACTCACCTAGAGCTCGGTGACTGATCATGATCAACATTCTTATCGTTGCCTGTGACGTCATTGACGTCACTACTCGTTGCACAGGTTACAACTTCATTAATCTCTTGCTCTTTTGTCAAACAGCCTATTTCTGCGAATGATCACACGTTTTGTGATCAGCGCGATGATTTATTTGTTTCTTCAGGAAGTTTATCAATTAAATGATAAAATTACCTGATGCTCTCCTCTTCTGAGGGATTAGACAAGGAATTGAATCCCAACAGGGAGTTGGACCATCGGAATCCTCTCAATTTTTTGAACAGGGAGCCGCCATCACATTGGTGCATGCCCGGCCCCCACCGGGCAATTGCCAGGTCGCCGGGCCCCAATCAAGACCTTGGTAACATATTTGCAACCTGTACAGTCATGTGTACAGGTTACGAGGCACAAAAAAAAGTGGAAAGAAAAAAAAAAAAAATCAGATCCCAGGAGCTCGCGAGCGCAAGCTTTCTGGGAACTGCTGTAGCTTAACTTCAATCATTTTCTGAAATTTTAAATTTATTTCCTACATTTAAAAATGTGTAGAAGCTAATGGTGAAGTCCAATTTTACCAAAACTCAAAGCTTCAATCTTAATACGTGAGCGTACCCCGTTTCTTGCATGATTTGTACCGTATACAAATTTTATTTGAATGCAAAATGGACAAAGCCATCAACTTTGAAAACTTTCAAAGTGTAGTAAATGAACTTAAAATTCCATAAAATAAGGATAATCAAGTGTGTAAGAATTAATTAAAGAAGCAGGTCAAGTGCAGTATTCAAGATATAGTTTTCACTTTGATGCAAATTTATTGTAACCATCATTTTAACATGTCTTAAAGTGTGGGAAATAAATTTAAAATGTCAAAAAATACTGAGAATCAACATGTAAAGAATTAATTGAAAAATATGACTAATTGCAGTATTCAGAATGAACCGTTGAGTTGTGTCAAAATTAGATGTTACCATTAAATTCTATACACTTTTAAATGTAGGAAACAACTTTCAAATTTGTAAAAAATAATAAAAAAATAACGTAAAAATATCAATGCAAACAATTGAGTGTAAAAGTGAAGAATTAATTAAAAAAAATTGTCAAATGCAGTATACAAGATTTAATTTTTAATCTTGATGCAAAATGATTTCTACCATAACTCCTTAAATGTCTGAAAGTGTAGGAAAACAATTTAAAATGTCAAAAAAGAATGAAAATTAAGCTCTAAACATTTAAGTGAAAAAACATGTCTAATTTCAGTATCAAAAATGAACCTTTGAGTTTTAGGAGAATTGGATGCTACCAATAAATTCTAGGCACATTATTACTTAGGAAATAAATTTAAAAATTCAAAAAAACATAAAAAATAAGGTACATACATGCATGCAAACAATTAATTGAAAATGAAGTGGAAAAAAATAATAATAATCAAAAGTCATTTTTATGCAAAATGGACTTCACCAGTAAATTCTACGCATTTTTCAACCCAGGAAACAATTTTATAAACTTGAAAAAAAATAACATTAATGGTAAAAAAAAATTAATTAAAAAAACAGGTCCAAACGCGGAAACCGCATGCTCTGTGCCACAGCAAAACTGTGTCAAAACGCAGAAAACCCGTGTTTTTTTATTAAGGCCCAATAAAAAAAAAGTGGTTTTTCTGCGTTTAGATGCGGTTTTTGGTTTTTCTGCGTTTAGACGTGGTTTTGCTGCGGCACAGCGCACACGGTATCCGCGTTTGGACGTGTTTTTTTTAATTATTTTTTTACCACTAATTTTAATTTTTTTCAAGTTTTTAAAGTTTTTTATTGGGTTAAAAGATACGTAGAATTTAATGGTCAAGTCCATTTTGCACAAAAATGACTTTTGATTATTAATTTTTTTTTCCCACTCATTTTTCAATTAATTGTTTGCATGCATGTTTTTACCTTATTTTTTATGATTTTTTGAAATTTTAAATTTATTTCCTAGGTTTTAATGTGCGTAGAATTGAGTAGTGTAATCCAATTTTTTTTAAAACTCAACGGTTCATTTTGAATACTGAAATTAGACACATTTTTTCACTTAAATTTCTACAGGTTAATTTTCATTCTTTTTTGAAATTTGAAATTTATTATTTCCTACACTTTAGTAAAAATTGTGGAACCGGGATATTTTAAAACCTCAGCATTTGGCAATTGATGCAGAATAAACTGAACACTCAGAAGGGAAACAGCCAACAAAGAGGTCAGATGATTGCGGAAGCACCTACGGGCCAAGCCATGGACAAGCAAGTTGAAGATATGGCTCAAGAAATTGCTTCACTCAAGTCTCAATTGAAGAGCATAATACCTTCATCTTACAACCAATCCGGATCCAAAAACAAATCAGAATTTTCTAGAGGTAATGCTGAACCTTCAACACCCTTGTATGAAACTCAAGTGTGTTACTACTGCAAGAGAGAGGGACACAGAACCTATCAATGTCAAGAACTCTTAAAAGAAGAAGAAAAAGGATTAGTTAGGTGTAAGGGAAAGGACTGGTACTTACCAAATGTACAACACATACCTTGGAATCCTACGAGACCCATCCGCACTATAGTAGCTACAGCATCAGCAGACCCGCAAATGCAAGAAGCTGCAAAGAAATTAGCTGAATCTCTCAAAACAAGAGAAAATCAAGCACCTGCTACCATGAAGTCCTCTGCTCAAAAAATTGGGCGCAGAAAATTTTCTAGCCAACCACACAATTACCCAATCTGAGGGCCAACAAGGAAGACACAGTGTTTGGATTCAAGAACCGGAAAAGGACGCAATGGATGTTGATCAAGAAGACAAGCTTGCCAATACTACAGAGGAAACACCCAAAACACTTGTGATAGAGAAAGCATGGAGTAAAGAGAAGCCAGTTGATAAAAAGGCTGCAACACCAGAAGAAGCTCTCCTGCAGGAGTTAGACCATCTAAAAATTCCTACAACATTTGCGCATCTCGCAGCTATCTCACTGTCAGCCTTGAGGTATATACACACCCATAGGCCTCAAAATATAAAATAATAAAAATAACAATTACAACTCATAGTCAAGTCTCAAGACTAGCCCATGAGAAAATATTATAAATAGTAAATTAATATTAAGCATAAAAATCTACATATAAAAGTGTATATGGTCAAAAGCCTGCAAATGACCACAGAGGCCTTTAAAAATAAAAATTAACTTTTTTACCTTACTGACCTTACTTTGAAAATAAAAACAAAATTCATGTACACAGCGGGCTCACTTTTTTGATTCCGAGATGTTTGATTTGTCGTGATGGTGGAGATCACGTCGGATCAGGCCTTCACAACATCAGAAAGGACGACCGTGTTGTAGTCATGTGTTTCGAGACGTCGAAAAGAATGTCTCAAGCTGAGACCCAAGAGAGAGCTAACAAGGCAGCCCTCAGCTTCCATATCGCAGTGGAAATGATGTCGTAGGTGACATCGAAGGATGTCATCTATGATGTTGCAGTGTCCATGATGTCAGAGCACCAGCCCAACGATGTGATTTTCCACATCACAGTGGAGCTCATGTCTCAGCCAGCACGCCGGATGTGAGGTTCATGTCGGGGGCATCTCAGGCTCAAGACATCCGGTGACCTTCAGAACTTATCGATTCTCCACAACAATGCCCTCCAAGCTTGAGTTGATCCATCTTGATTACGAGATATGGCTTCTTCGAGTGCCACCAACGACTTCGAACCCAGCCACCGAAGTTGTTCCTCATTGGGCCCTTGTTTTCCCGGAGCACGACATTCCAAGCCTGACGGAGGACCTGCCGGAAAGCGATTTCGGAAGATTTCAAGAGATCATCTTCAGTCATCTGGGAAAGACGTGGGATGATCTCCCACTTGAACCTGTGCTACGAGAGCTCGACGCGGAAAGGAAACTCAGCTGGCAAGGCATCATCAAGCATGTCGATCCAGGGTCAAAGGTGGAATAGTTCAATCTTCAAGCGGACTATGGCAGATTTAGAACTCGGACAACTCTCACTTCAATCCAAGGTATTGTAGAGATGGCACTTTGGCACCTGTTGGGGGGTACCTGCCACATTTCAAAACATTCCCTACACACCAACAGCCACTTTTTATGCAGGTAGAGGGTGCAGCAATGACCAAGGTTCAGTACTGGACCCTCCGCCTGAATGGCTGGTGGCTGGTGGTATTGAGAGTCTGTTCTGAAGTGTGGCAGGTACCCCCCAACAGGTACCAAAGTGCCATCTCTAAGGTATTGAAATTCTCATTCTGATGCAACATCCAGATGGGAACCAAGCTGCGGTGAGTACTTGCTCCCTCAACGATTGAATAGCGATGTTACTGCACAGTTTACTGATCTCAAGATTTTTTTATCTTAATATTGCCCCAACAAACCAGCAACCTTCTGTAAAGAAGCCGATCGCGGGAGCTGCTCTTTTGCAAGGGGAGTATTCGATTTGGGTCGGCCGAGACACACTAGACCAAGTTCATTTACCTACGCCTGGGATTCAAGCCTGCTCACCGATTGAGTACGAAGAGATTTCGTCGGATGAACCAATCGGCCTCGATATCGATTTGAACAATTGTAATTTCAGAAATTTCCAGGAGCAGGTATACAATTGCTTGGCGGCCACCCAGACCGACTGCAACTTTGGCCAAATTATGCGACGCCTCCACCTGTCAAAAGAGCTCCTGTGGCAGGCTAGCATCTCTTTCAATGGCGGGTGCTGCTTCCTCCGCACTTACGTTCTTCCAGATGCATACAACGAGTTCGCGGAGTGCATGCTGAGTTCCGAGACTCAACCGCAAGCAATTGTGAAGATCTCAATGAATAAACCAAACATGGTTGTAAGTCCTTACATATTCAATGATGTCTGGCAAGTAAGCTCACTAAGCTTCATGTTCTTAGATCCCTGAGACTCCACCAACCCCAGCGGAGAGGCCCTTGCCTGGCCAATTGGTGGTTCCTTCGACTGCTTTATCGAATCGGGTCCCTTTGGCTAAGCGAGCAAGATTTGATAAGGAGTCAGATGGTCCAGCGTATGCCATTGGCATGGATGAATTTCTGGCTATGTGTTACATACCTCTCAATGATACTGAAACCCGCCGGCTGATTGCTGATCATCACATCCATCATTGGTCTGCTTTGAAAAATGCAACTGAGAATGATTTAAGAAAGCTGGGTTTCCACTATGGTCCCATTCAGTTGTTTCTCCAAGGTGTTCAAAAACTGTCTCAGGCTTAGTATTCATGTTTTTCTATCTGCCTGTTATTTTTGATCCAATGCAACTTTGTCTGGAGTTTTTTCCTGAAGATGGTGTGCTCAAAAATGATGATTGATGATTGATGAATGACAGAATGGGATCATTGAGATTATTGGTGGGAGGGGAGCCGGTGTTTCTGAATTTATTTCACCAATAGGAGCTTTTTGTAAGTTCTCTTAGGTATCACCTTTTTGATGTGAGTGTGGCAACTGGTCTATTATGTGTTTTTGGTGGACCAAAATACTCTATGTATCATTCTCATAATACTGTGGATGAAAAAACAAAAAACTCCCAAGTTGAAGAATCAGAAAAACATTGGAAAAACAGTCGGACATATGATACTAAACCTGAATTGTTGACTGTACATTAATGCGATATAATGTGGTATAGTGTATGTACGCAGAAGAAATGAAATGTGATGGGTGCCCTTTTTATTCATCAAAGCAAATAAGTGATTATCATGTGGAGAGTGATGTCTCTGAATTCTGGTTTGGAATTTGTTGTATATGAGATGCCCCCCTGTCTAGTCATCCTGATCATCCAGTGTACCCCACTTGGACATTCCTTGTTGAAGAGCTGCATCCCATTCCGGTGAGGTAGGTGGTTGTATTGGAATTGCACTGACATACCGATGATATGTGGGTGCATGTAGAGATGCTGCATTTAAGATGTAGCTGTTCAGGTCTGAATGCTCAATGTATGAACTGAATGTAGTCCCTTCTTGTTTCTTTTTGCGATTTTGATGGCCATGTTTGACTGAACACTGCCCATCATGGCAGTTATGTTGAACATTCAAGCATGCCTTGATGTGCTGTTCAAATTGAAGATCACAGATATTGAGATTGCTTGATTTATTGCAAATCATGATGGAGATATAAGTATTATGACTCACCCTGGGTTGAATGATATCCATTTCACGTTGTTTATGAAGCACCCTCATCTTGTAGAAGGGATGCACCACTCCACGGCTGTACTTGATGACTAGGATGAGAAAGTGGTTTGGATGTTGGGGGTATTCTTGCCAAATTGATTGGATACATCCCACATATGGAATGCTGGCAGGATCCTGATCTGTTTTGTCAACCTGTTAAAGTAAATTCAAGTGTTTCATCAATTCTTCTGTTTATGGATCTGAATATTCCTAGAATGGAAGCATAATACCCAGACATAGATGCCCTGGCCTGCATTTTCCTGATTATTGAGGCTGATTTCTCCGACTTGTCTGAATATTTGACGTGGGTAATTTTGAGAGAGAAACTGAGGATATGATTCTCTGTTGCCTGCTGGAACAGATGTTTGATGAACATGTGGATATAAGTTTGGGGGAGTGACACGTTCGGAGTTGTATCCCATGGATCTCTGGAACAATGGATTATTTCGGAATATTTCAAGGACATTTGGGGACGCCTGGCAATGTATATGGTTTTTTGGATTGTACATCACAGTTCCTGATGATAAATTGCGCAATGTTTGGTAATTGGCAAAGCTGATTGCAATATCGCGGCCTGGGCTTTGTCGGTTTGAATGGATTGATGCGGTGCGCAATACACTGTTGTATGATTCAAATTTTTCTGATGCAAACAAAGCTGGTGGCCCAAAGCGCATGATGGATTCTGGAAGATGTACCAGCATGTGAAATTTGGGCTTGTTAACCCATTGGGCAGAGGTCTTAACTAAATGGAAAAGGAATATGTTGATCAGCAATTTGAGGTCATGTATGTATTGTGTCATATCATCAATTTTAGTTTGAAATATGAAGCTGCCCAAGTTGCAGAGGGCTGTCCACACATTCCTTTTATCTTCAGACATGAAAGGAAATAGGACAAAGGGGGCAGCTTGGAGCACTTTTCTATGATCCCTCCCAACCAAACTTTTGTAATGTTCAACCATGTATTTGGGTTGGATGGAATCAATGTTTAGTGATTGGGTGTTGAAAGATGCCCAGTAAGGTTGAAGTTTGGGCCGCTGAGTTTCGGTGAGGCCTTCCATGAAATCTCTTAATAAGTACTTGTGGATCCCCAGGAGGAAAACATGCAATATTTCCACAGGTGTGTCATTGCAACCATCAAATCCTAAAACATGAAAAAAGGGGGTAAATCATATTGAAAATATAAATTGGTGTCAGTTTTATAACTCACCTTTCAATCGGTAGATAGGGTTGTGAATTCTTAGTGGTGTTTCGACAACCATTTTTTTAACCCGGTTGGATTCTTCAGGATATTTTCTGCTTTTGTAAAGTTTCATCAATTCATGATTGATGTTATCCTTCAACCCAAAAACTCTTTCCCATTCCTCATACTGATCCCATGTTGAGGAGACTCCCTGATTCCATATTATCTTGGAATCTGAAATGGTTTGACTCCAGTTTCTGCGTGGTGGTAATCCCTGCACTTTGATGTGTTAGTTTGACTTCAATCCTCATTTGATGATTCTTTTGCACTCACATCTGTGGTATGTGGACTGATCCCCATGCATTGGCAAACATATGAGAGTGTTTGACGTTCCTCTCGCGTTCCGACTGTAAGTTTGCACATCCTGCAAGGATTATTTGCTGAACCTGGATTGGGTGTACTGGTTATCTCCGCATGCATTGGAGAATCCGCAAGAAAGCAGAGGACGACACTCATGACAAGCACTTCTTCATGAATGCTGGAATCAAATGCAGGATGCCCATTTGTTGCCAAATCACTGGGGAATTATTAATCAAGGAGACATTTGATCAGTATGTTGTTTACATGTTACATATACTACTAATGCATGCTTACTTCATCTCATCAACAATTTGTTCTGCTAGTTCCAATGGTCCAGCAACGTTAGAAGTACTGATAAAATGACAGTTATACTCTTGATTGGTGTGGTTTGGTGGTAGACCAGAAAGAGTGAAATAGTATGACACATGTTTGTTCCATTGCTTGGAAACATTCCCTGATGTGTCATCGGAGTATAGGGTGATTGGCACATGACGAATCATCCTGCCGGCTGCTTTGGCCCTCCAAGGATTGGGAAATGCCACTTCTACGTTATTTGCCTCTGTATATTGCATTTTAATATGTAGATGTGATTGACGTCAATATGCATGGGGGAACTATTATTATTAATTGCTCGTAGAATTAAACTTACCAATAAGTAAAGCATCCATTATATCAGTCAGATACTGGCCATCTACCATCTTGATCTCCTCACAGGTCATCTCAAAGTCAAACACTGGAATTGTTGACAACCACTGTGAATCATAGCTAAGATTTTCAGGCAGCTTGATGAATTTCTTGCCATCCTCCGCTCTGGTACAAAATTCTGGATTGACCACGACCTTTGCATACATCTTACCATTGGCCTCAAAAAAGAAGATTGGCACCACTAGGTTACCTGTCCTCAATAGAGTGGGTTCATAAATGTAATAATGCTTGCGGTGGACCTCGTGAGCCACCATCTGAACTCTGCAATCATAAGGGAGCTCTTCACGCCATTTCTTACTTTGGTATAATGCATGTTGGTATAATCCATGATTGTCTTCAGGGTACACTCTCAGGTGAGGTCTGACGTATGGATTGGACAATTCCTGGGAGGACAAACAAATTCAATTAGCATTTGGTACGGAGACAACTTTGAATAAAGTGACCAGAAAATTTTGGTCATGTTGCTGAGACACTTACATTTGCCAGCATCTGCTTGATACTTAGAGCATAGCATTTATTCAAAAACACACTCTCCGTTTCATTTACTGAAACATGAAAAATCTTTCGTATGTTTTCTCGACATCTTCTGAGGGCGTTCCAATGTGGTAACTTCATCCGACACAGCGTCAGAATCATTCTCAACTGGTGGTACAAAGCGCGTGAGAGGGTGTTGTGCAAGTATCCAACAATAAGAGATCCAATAAGGTACTAAATATCAACCATGCACCAGGGACAAAAGATGATGATTTCAGGTCAATTTAATCTAAACCCACCAAATGTGTACCACACATATGACTTACATCACGATTTTTGAAAGGAAACCATGCTGTAGGGATTGAATCATCTTCATCTTCAACTTCTTCTTCTTCTTCATCCCCAGGCATTCTCTCTTCTTCAAGAATGATATCCTTGATCCCATGTAATATCCATTTATCCCAGTCAATCTGAAACTCCTCAGCTGACTGTTGATTTGCGTCAATGTGTCCAAATCCTAAATCTTCAGCCCGCATTTGGTTCCAATTCAGGCGAACTTCTGCTTCCCCCCCTTGTGACCTATACCTATCACTATGAGCCCTCAGTTGGTTCCAATCCAAGCTAATTTCAGGTTCGGTATGTGGTGCGTGAGACATCCCAGGGCCAGCCCCCTCCTGATCAAATCCTCCATAGCTCGCCATCGTGCTTGAGTCATCCCGGATTGTAGACATCCCAGGTGGAGGCCCCTCCCCATCTAATGCTCCATAGCTAGCCCTTGTGCTTGAATCATCCCGCATTGTTTCCGATGAGAACCTTGCATTAGTCTGATTCATTTCTGCATATGTATTCGCCAGTCGAGGGATCATTGCCTGCCGCAATGCTTCCCTCCGTCTGTGGCCATCGGAACTGAGGTGAGCCCGTGGGTATTTTGTAGGTCTTCCCCGGCAAAGATTACACACATAGGTCCTCTGGCCATCTTGATCTTGAACAGTTGTAAAATCTGGAGCAAAACAAACCCAAAAATCAGTGAACTTTGTATTTACCAAAACAGCAAGATGGCAGTACACACCCAGATAATCAACATCCATAACCCAATCCTTTTTTTTGCCTCAAAATAATTTCCTTGACAGATCGCTCTATGATGATGCGGAAACCAACTAGAATATTTGGTGTCTTAACACAAATTTTTGATGTCTTAACTGGAATATTTGATCTACCAACTGGAATTTTTGATCTCACAAGTAGAATTTTTGATGTCTTATGCTGGTGTAAGAAATTTGATAAAGAATAGATGTAAATAGATAATATTTTATGCAAGTGTTTTGCCTGTGAAATTTGAGACTCTGGAATTTTTAGACTATGGAGATATTGGCCAGTGAAATGGTTGTGCACTATGGAGATATTTGTGGAAGAAAGATATATCAATGGGGTGTTCAATTTTTAAGGTGTATGATGATATTGTTGATGAAGCGGACTTTGATATTTTGGATGAAGGTGGTGAAAATCTCCTGTGGCATTGGTAGCAGTATTTGTACCCAATCAGAACCCAGCACAGACACTTGAAATATGCCCCCAGAAGGGGGTCTGTGCACCAAAACTTCCACGGTTAGGGTTTCTTCAAATCGGACCTCGTCCTCACCCTCTTTCCCCCCTCTGGCTTGTCTCATCTCCTCTTGAGACCAGTTTCAACTTTCACCTTCATCGGTCATACATTGAAACATGTCTTGACTCCCTTTTCTCTTACCCATTTGTCACAAGTTCCAAGGTTCCCCTCCCCCTCTGACAATTTCATCATCTGTTTCAAGCTTGACCAATACACTTCTTCACCATGACATACCAGCCCTTTCACCCCAACTTCTCTCCACTCCCTGCCAGCTCGCTTGCAAACTCGGGCCTCGGAGACCCATCACATGTCTCAGATCCTTCATTTGGCCTTTCTCGGTATCATCCCAACCAATCTTACGATGGTCACTCAGCGCCGAATACCCTCAATCAGCTCAGTGATGGCCAACCAAGCAGTCAGCAACCTCGAGGCCTTCAGTACACTCCTGTACCATCTCAATTTCCTAACATCAACCGACGACCCCCCGGAAGCTCAGTCGGACCAAACGAACCCCCCCCACCGCCTCTCAATCAAACTCAACATGCCTCATTGAATCAAAGTAGCATCGGGCATACATCCTCCTCAACTCGTCCCCTTGATCACAACCGAGGTCTTGACATTGACACGGCGGTTTCACCAACTGGGTCCAGCAATCGAGGCCGTTCTAATGCGTCAAGTGTAGCTTCTGGTGATCAAGGCCATCCTGCTTCATCGAACGGATCTCAGCAAGGAGACCAAGATCCAACTAGTACTAGTTCCTTGACCGTTTCATCCAGCCTCAGCGGCGAACTCCAGCGACTCAAATCTTTGCTACAGATCCAACTCACACCGCAGCTCTCTCAGACTATACAGCAACTCGCTCATGTAAGTCCGATTTTCTCTGATTGAACCATAGTATGCAGGCCACCGCTCATGCATACAATGTTTTGAAGCTGCCTTCCCACCTCCTATCAGTTGCAGGCCTCATGATTGCATTATCGAGGCCTACTGCTAATCTAGAACCAAGTCAGCAGTTGAGCCTGCCCAACCACACCCAGCCATTTGAATTTGGAAATGCCATTCGAGTAAGTCATCTCACTATGCTTACTACTTCACTCGACTTCACCGTCATTAAACCAGAACTAGAATTATTTGCGCGCGAAAACTTGAGCGATCTTCCTGAGAGGGGATTTGGAATCGTATGTACGCACTCAAACAACCAAGCAAAAACACATCAGAAAGAACCCTGTTGATCTGATCAGTGTTTGTTATTCCATGTTATGTTTTTGTCCTATTTCCAAGCTGACTGCCTCTGTGTTGATTTAAAACTCACAGGAAGCAATTGAGGAAGAGGGCAGCGAGTTCATTAAAACCCATCTTCCTCCTGGGTATGCATCGGGAGAAGATGACTCCATCTCAAGTGTTTTTGAACTCATCAAGGATACCCTCAGATATGAGAGACATCACTGATCTTGGTAAGTACCTCGGCTCCAATACCCCTTCGATTGATTAGCTTACAGGAGCATGCAGATGTTGGCAGGCATTGTGGAAGCCCCAGCAAACTACAGATATTTGCCTGAAACAGCTCCAACACTCACTCAGCTTATCCTTCTCGTAAGCTTGATCTCTCTCTCTCTAGTGTAGAGCTTCAGACGACCGATTGTGTCCAACTCACTAAAAATAAATCTATTCGATGACAGGTCCATCGAAACTTTATGCCATCCTTGGAGAAACGATCGGATGAAGCAATCATCAAAGAGTTACCCGACACTACGGCGGTACGGTTTACATACCTGCGATTTCAACTTGCCAGGCACCGTTTTCAGGCAAACGGTCAGAACCAAAGGATCACCAACTGGAAGATTATCGACCGCGACTTGGAAACCTTGAGGAGCAAGTCATCTGGATACCAGGTAGCGTAAGTGAACCTCTCGTCCTTACAATGCTTTTGCTCTAGCAACTTGGCTGATCTATCATTGCATCTCAGTCATACACAGCTCATTGCCGAAAAAGAAAAAAGACTGTGGGGCCGCAGAATCGGCAAATTTCAAGCCTCGGACTTCGAGATGCCAACAGTGACTGAAATCAACAACCGCATTGCGGAGTCGGCACGGAACAATTAATTGGATCATGTTCCTTTTCATTATTATCTCAACTTGTTGTCTAGCACCTTTCCTACCGTGATACTACATATTTATCCATGAATCAAGCAGTCTTGTAGTTGAAAAAAAAAAAAAAAAAAAAAACCCATGAAAAATTGAAATTCACAACTTGTATTAATACCGTTACCCCATCTAGTCCTGAGAATGGACCAGCGAGTGAGGCCTCCTCTGAGGCCAACTGAACAAGTGCCTGGGCAGTTCCGACCGAGGCATCGTTATCGCATTTTATGAGGATTCGTCCAGCTTCACCGGCCACAACGTGAAATTGATGTGATGACAGCGGTTTGAACCGGTCCGCTTGCTTTCTCCCCCCCACATCTCTTCGATGTGATGGTCAAAAAAACATCGTGACCATCCTTTTTGGAGAGCGGCTGATGGCTTTCTCACCCGACATCTGTTGACATCTCTTTGTTGTGATTGTCAACTATGATGTCGAAATCATACCAGATTGGCGTGCTCAACCAGATCAAAACCGACGCCACCTGTGATGCAAAAACGATGTAGGGCATGGGTGGATGTCATTTCACATCAAAATTCCCATTCAGTGAACGATGTCGATTCGACATGAAGTCCACCGACGAGGTGGCATCGGGGTGAGCCCGCTGTGTAGTTACATACCAATGTGTAACTACATACTCAAAAAACAAAGAATTCTGTAAAATAATCAATAACTAAAGAGTTACAGACATTTCAAGTTAAAGAACCAAATCAGCTGATGACATAAACAAAGTTCATTGGATGCGAACTCAAGATAAACAAGGTTCCAAGGCTTGTGCAACATGTACAACCTTGTAGTTCAGCAACTATAACCAAGTAACCAGTTTAGGCCACATATTCTGAACCCTGACCAGCCACTTGGTCATGTAACCTGTTTTGTTTATCCCTAACCTTAATAACCTCTCTGAGCAAACTCAGAATATCTTATTACATCAGCCATCCACCAGAACAACCCTGGTCCAGTTTGAAATTAACAGGATTGAGAATTGGCCCATTTCAATCTGGCCCAAGTAGTTAATCTGTTCTTGGCCAGTACATATCAGAATACCTCAACCAATCCCCTCCAAAATGGATTGGAGGCGAAAAAAAAGCCTCCTTTAGGTATCTGGAACCCTAGCAATACCTTGGCATTGCATCATAATATCCTGACTGGGTAGCTGTACCCGTGGTTACAGTTACAACTGTTTCAGCCTTTGGGATACTGATAACCAAGGCCTTGGGCATGGCTTCCACCCAGCCAAACAAGCCCCAAGCATCAGTGCCATCGTGCAAAAATGCACTGCAAGCCACCCTCAGGTGTGTGGCTATATAAAGACTCCTTTATTGAGTGCTTAAACCCCAGAAATTCACCCACTTCACCATATATACTACTATATACTTGAAGCCAGCATTTCCAACCATTTCTCTTATCAACCATAGCATTCTAACCACGAAACAGAGCTCCTCTTTTACTGCTACTACCAGCCTTAACCTGTAGCCTTTGCCCTTAAAAGATCCCAGCTCTTTATTCCTTTAAAATTGGCCATTTCTTACTTTCTGTTGCAGAAGTACTGCTCTAGAAATTGCCCAAGGATTCCCAACTCCTCCAAAAGATCTTTTTGGAAGAACTACTGGTGATCTATTGTCTAATAAACAATTCACTCCTCCTTCATTCCTCCTTTGGAATTCAGAGTATTGATTAAAATTCAACTCTAGGCCTCTTAACAGGGAATATTGTGAGGCTACAATTTCTTTGATTGTATAAACAACAATCCCCTTTTTTTTGTGAGTTTAAATCAAACTTTAAAAATTAAAATCTCTAATAAAAATCACTAACAAAATTATTAGGACAGGAATAGTACTAGATTTTCCATCTAGTTTCATATCCAGACCTTAAACTCACCAACCTCCACCAAACAAATAATTGCTAAACTACAGAACCGACTCCCAGAAAAAAGTAGTGCTACCTGTTGAGGTTTTTCTCAGTTCTGTCTCTCTCTGCCCTTCTTCTCTTTCTAATCACCTTAAATCAGACTGAAGTTGTTTTTCCAAGTAGCTAGTTTTTGGTTGTTTTCTGAGTCCTCTTTTGAGTAAAATTTGCCCCTTAAGAAAATAAGCCCAACTCAATCACTCTTGTCTCTACGGTATTAATTTCTTCTTTTTCTGGTTTATTGTCTGATATTAAAAATTGGTTAACAAGAATTAACACCCCTTGTTATTTGTGATTTAAAATACTTTGTCTTGACTAACTCATCTGGCCTGACTACAAGAGACTGAGAAGTTTTGTCTAGTTTGTTATTTTCAAGAACTTATTTTATCTTCTCTCAGTTTTTATTCAAAGAACATTCTTTATTCATTTCTTTCAACCAGTTTTTTGACCACTTGTACCTAGTCTATTTAATCCTGGCTAGTTTCAAGTGAATGAAAATCATCAGCTCTTTACACTCCTTTCTGTGAGCCTTTCCCAAAAAAGAGTCCTTTCCTTTTTTGGCCCTCAACCTCTTACGCGCTCAAGTCTTACTTTTTAACACTACCTATATTACTACAGAAACCGCAAAAGTCTCAGCAGCTATGACTACTCCAGAAATAGAAGATCCGTTGGACCCTTGCTACTATAGCTGTGCCCTAGAATACGTAACAGACAAAGTTGGGGGAGCCAGCGTGCAATTTATGGTAGATTCTGGCTCCATGGTAAATGTTATGCCTTGATCAGTAGCAGTAGACCTGGTACAAGTAGATATACCAATGAAAGAAGTTAGGGGAGCAAGATGTGACTTAAATGGAGTAGCTGAAAATTGCCCAGTTGGAATTGGAAGATTCTGCGGACCAGCACATTTATTTGTGTCGCCAAAGGCTCAGGAATGTAATTTAGGATAACCATTCTTATTCGACTACGGATGCATGCTGGAATATCATGAAAACGGTGAAACTCTGTCTTTCCAAGGAACAAAGGGACGCAGGGTATCAGTACCATTAGCAAGAACGGGTAAAGGAAGAGGCTGGAACAACAAGAAAGATCTCAGTACCAACAGTATGAAGATTCAGGACGAGAATATGCGGTTAAAGAAAGATAATCAAATGTTCAAAAAGCCTTCAAAGCAGTCTTTTTTATGAATTCTGGTGTTCAACTATGGGATTACTCGCTTAAGCTAGTCAAGCGAGTTATATCCAGGACACCGGGCTTTCTAGACTGGCTCAAAACTTTTCTTCTGGATTTATTTAGAAAACTACCAAAACAAAAAAAAATTTTTGCAAAGGTAATGTTATTAAAAAAGAACATTCTGATCATTTGTCTTCTACTTTTAAAAATTTGTAAAACCAAAACAGCACAATCACGGTATACTACAACTAACCAGGTATTGGCTTTGACGAGGAAAGATGGAACTTCGAAGTTGGAGAAAATGGAACCAATTTTGGAAGTCAATTCAGCCAAAACAGTATTGGAACCTGTAAAACGTAATTGGGAAACAATCACAGATAATCTACTTCCAGAAGGTTTAGGATTGACGTTCCAGACAAAGCTGTGTGAAAGTTGGCAAGAAGGGAATCTATGGTGTATGACAAAGTACAAACCAGTTGGGAAAAAATTTTGACCAATAAATCAATCAATTCCACAATTACTGAATCCACCATCGATGTGGTGGTGGGAGCACGCTTCAACCAAAGCTTTGGCCAAATTGTTTGGGTGTATGCGGAATGCTCGTGGCTGATGCAGAAAGCATGCAGAGCTGACGCTACACGCGCAGGCTGAGGAAAGCGGCGGCGCATTAGTGGAAAAGTCTAGCTTTCCAAGGCGCTGGAAAGCGGGGAAAAGCGGGCCAAATGCACAAGGTTCCGAAAAAGCTTGCTGCAGGGAATCGGGGCACTGGCGGACTTTGGGGTTCACGGCTGACTGCGGACTGGGTTTTAGCGTATACTGCGGAGGGGCTACAAAGGAGCAGGGGCACCAAGAGGAGGAAGCGGGGTTTGGAGCGGACCAGAGGCCGAAGCGGTGGTGGGAGACCTATCCAAAGGGCGGTGTGGTATGCCAATCCTGATGTAAGCCTGAGTGATGCCAAGAACTGGTATTCTTCTAGCTACACTAGGTGCAAAGGTAAAATAAGAGGTGTACACGTGTGGGTAACATGTGAAAAGTGGGGGGATGTGTGTGTAAATAGAAGAAAATAGTAAATAAAAACTGTTAAGTTTTTATTTACAGAGGGGCCTGAGTTACAGGGGCTTTTAAGGTGCCCTCTAATATCAGGTCCTGGGTTACAGGGGTGGTACTGATGTTCTGGTCCTTTGTGATAAAGGAGTATGCCCAGCAATAGCCTACAACTGAAGAAACAGAGAAATAATACTTACTAGTACTTATCTCTAAGCCAAGGAAGTCTTCAGGAGGGGGGAACTGTTCTTGAAGCGCTCAGAAAGGTGGTTGAGAGAGGTTGGAGGAGTGCTGGGGAACAGGTGTTGGTTGGTTGATGGAAATTCAGGTTGATAACAGCAGGAACTGGGCCAAAAGGCAGGTTGAAACTGGTTGTTGGTGACGGTTTATGCTGGTAAGTAATGATGAAGATGGGGAATCAAAGTTCAGGGGGAAGAAGGGGCTCTTAAGTACCCATTCTGGGCCTCTGGAGGCGAAATCAGGAGTCTCTCTAGTTGCTACAACTCTCCTACTAAGCCTATGGGAGCTTTTGATCATCTGTAGCACCTGTAGGGCTTGGTTACAGGTGCCAAGGAGATGATGTAATGCTTGTAACCATGTTTACAGGGTGTTCTGACGAAACTTTAACACTCCTGAAGCCTATGTAAGCACTGCATGATGCATGGGTTGATCTTCAAGAGAGTAATTGTCCCAATTGGGCCAAAAAGGGCCACAGATCATCCCAAACAGTTTAATACTGTAGTCTGTGCTCATGTAGTTAAGGTTTCAATGATGTAAACCTTGTTTGTAGATTTTTCCCAAACTGCATGAACCTTAATTACACATGTAGCCCCCTTACAAC